CCAACTGAAAGCAGCTCCTGTCTTCTCTGGTAAGCTAAAAGAAATTAATTCTCCTTGATAACCAAGATAGTTAACCACATCATCTAATCTGGGAGCTATTTAGAGTACAGACAGTTGAGAAAAACATGCTCTGGCAACAGGACAATAGAATGTAATTTTTTAAAAAAAGCCCAACAGCCCCCCTGCCGCCAAATACCAACACATTAAGACCCACACACTGGGCATAACCTGATATTTCAGGTAGACCATGATGTTGACTGTGTTTGGCAAGAGTTCTCTTCCCATTGTTTATCATATTTACAACCCCCGTTAAAACTTTTCATACAGTGTTTCTCATTTGCAAATTTGGCTCTTCATCTCCTTCCAAGCTCATCTCCAGCCCTTCAAAATTAACAGACAGAACAGTGGGTTCCTTAAATTTGTCGATGTAATGACTTCACAAAAACAATACAAGGAAAAAAAAAAATCCTACATCAGCAATACTGCTCATCTAGCCCATGTCTGTTCTTATATACCAGAGCGCTGGAAATACAGCTGTGCTGATGCCCGGTGTTTTTATTCAGCCACATGTTTTCAAATGAAGCAACATGACTGCAATTTATCCTTATTAACAATTATCTTGGGGAATAATTTTATTTTCACATAAAGACTATTCTCACTGAGTGCCCCACTGAGTATCTGATGCACATTGGTTCCTCAAGTATAGCATTATGGATAGCAGCAAATTAGGTGATGTTTAAGCAGCTGATCTTCAGCAAACATCATATGCTACAACTGTGGCACCCAGGAGTGATACTTAGCATCACTTCCACAAAAAGGTATTTTCAGTGGAAACTTGGCTGCTGGCCACTGAAAGAAAATCCATCTTCAGGGACATATTAGTACAAATTAACCTGCTTCTGCAATAGTATAACCATTAGAGCTGTAATTAATTGGCTTTCAGAAATGGGAAGCAGAGGCATGCTGAATAGCCAAATTTATCTTGGTAACAGATTTCCCTCCCAGCAGGAGCTATCAAAACCAGCTTCCTGCTAAAAAACTCTCACCTCTTACAGCAATACAGTGTATTTGCATCAGTACCATTCCCTCTGCCAGGTGACAGACAGATCCTTATAGTTCTCTAAAACTGCTATTATGTTTTTGTCTTTATCAAAGCGAGAAGGGCTGCTTTGTAACAGGAATAGCTCAGGCTTCATAGAATAATATTTAATTACTGGAATAAATAAATTCAAGAGATACATACATTCGCTTGGTACTTTCAAAAAAAAAAAAAAAAAACAAAACACCAAAACACCTACTTGTGCTTTTGTCTCAAGCCAAGTTGGGATATACAGATTCCTGTGTACTCTTCCTAGAGACATTAATCACCAGTAGATCACCCATACAGCCAAAACAATTTAAAAAAAAAAAAAAAAAACCAAAACAAACCACCTCCAAACTCAAGGTCTGTAGCAAAGTTAAAAGCAATCAAAATTTAGGGGTCAGGAAGATTCAAATAAACAAACCTTAAGAGGACTTGCAACATGCATCAGCTTTGAGGGACTGCCAGTCCTCTAGATCCCAACAGATGGAGTGAGCAACTTCCAGGAAAGCAAGCCCTGCAAACCTTAACGGGGAAAGGACTATGGCACAGAGGCAACCAGGCACTGCTAACGGGCCAAATACTCAGATGGAAGAGGACTTAAATATCAAAGCTATGTTTAAAGTAGCAACCTGACCTAGCAGGCTCCCCCCGGAGAAACAGCTCCTGCTTATAACATTTATGTCTCAATTCAGCTTGTCGTATTCAGCTACCAACTGAAGCGCCCAGCTGCAGGCAACAAAAAGCAGAAAGCGGTAGCAAGTGCCATGTCAGGCAGGCTCCAGGCCCCAGGGAGACTCCATGCAACACCACTACTCAAAGACAAGCTGTTGTAGCTCCAACAGCAGCTCTCACAAAACACAGCCTGCCTGCAAGGCTTCTCCCGCTGTAACGGGCTTTTCAGACCTCACTTTTTTTTATTTAAACACATTAGGCAACTGGTTTCCTGTAGCAGTTTCAATGTTTGACTAATTAATAGCTGTTAACAGCAGGCACTAGAAGGTAACTACTCAAGTTAACTTCCAACGCTAGCAAGAGGTGGTGGCAAACAGCAAGACCGATCACACAAATCCTTGCACCGAGCATGCTTTTAAGGACAAAACCCAACCACGCTGAGATCAGGCCTGCAAACCATACAACCCTCAGCGTGGTTCCCTTACGCTACCGTCTGCCAGGACACAAAGCCCAGCAGACTGCTGTGTGTCAACAGCTACACGTCGTCGTCTTGAGTTACGCACCTACCCCATGGGGCTGTGCGGTAAATGCAAACCAGCTTAGCACTTCTTCTCTAAGGGCAAGTGTCCTCGGATCACCTTTACACTCACGGCACAGCAGCAGCAGGTCCACGTGCAGCACAGGCCCTCTCAAGCTCACGCCAGGACAGCCAAGCTTTTGCACCTGTCCCAACTAAAGCTAACACCACAGTAACTCAAGAGGCACCATTAGTCAACTACAAACCTCAAAGAAGGGACTGCCATCCCACGTAACAATCTGCTATGGTACGTGTAGGTTGCCAGGGCTGACAGAAGACAGTCTAAAAGAAGGAATACACATCAGTCTGCCGTCCAGCCTCCACAGAACCGCACAAGCGGATCTCATCCCGGAGTGAACAGTGGCAGGACTTGCATAAAGACTGTACAACTGCAGCTGATCTTCCTAGGCTTCCCTACCACCTTTCATTATGTGCACATGTGCTTGAAGAAACAGTGATACCAAACTGCCACGAGAACAAGTAATTTTCAGTCTATAGCCACACGATTACTTCTGTCAGCATCCTTTTATGTTGGCATGTTTGCCACTGGATATCTGAAGTACTTCATAAAGTAAATCATGTATCAATTTTTTCCCCTCTTTCAAGAAATGCAATTCTCTTTTTTTTTTTTTTTAAACTGTATTTTGACCTGGATTCTTTTCCCTTGGAGTCCCCAGGTCAAGTCATTCCAGTTGCCTTCTAGTGTACTGCTCTTTTCACTTCAGATGTAATCAGTGCAAATACAAAACAAGGCAGGATTTCCTAGGCACAAAGACAACTTACAGCATCTCAACAAGTGACTGGCTGCGGGACATGAATTAAGTCATAGCCATCAAGCTGTAACACGGCAAGGCAACAGAATGACAAAAATTATTAGATGTACCCTTGAGCCATTTGCTGGTCCCTAAAGGGCACATGCAAGCTCAGACTTTCCAATGCAAATCAAAAAACAAATCTGGAACGAGCCCTCAACAGGGAGTGAAGCAGGAGTCCACCTGTGGGAGGCGACACTCATACCAGAGAACTCAAGCAAACAAAATTTCTTCCAAACTTCAAGAAATTTTTATTGGGGGATGGGGGGCGGGGGGATAGGGACACAAAAGAGCGAGATAACAGTGCTATAGAAAGAACCACCACAGTAAAGTTACCTTTAACTCAGCAGCTGTAGGAATCTTTTCTGCCAAAAACAGCTCCCCAAGCTGATCATCTGAGTTAGCAACGCATTCGATCAACTCCCGACGTCTCTCTGCAACTTCAGCTCTAAACTCAGCTGGAATTTCATCATACCGGAGAGTCTGGCTACACACACATAAAGAGCATAACCACTCTAAAGGAAAACCACATGAATCAACTTTTCAAACCCTAATCATTGTGATGACCAGCCTGACGAAGAACAATTCACTGTTGGCGTGGATATTGAAAAAAAAAAAAAGTCACATAAGAATATCAACATGTTATCTTTGATACTTTAGCAGGAGAAGGGCTTCTTCCCACTCATGGTAGGAGTTTGCAAGGATGCAGGATAACCTGTTCAACAACCCACATCATATCTTCATCCCAGTAAGCTCACGCCAAACGTATGCTATCAGTTCCCGTTATGAAGCAAGTCTCCTATTTCTCAGGGTGGCAAGCATGGCTGCCACCCCTTCACACTACTGCAGTTAGCAGCAATTCATGCTGCAGCTACCCACCCCTAAACCTGTCCCTGCAGAATCATTTTGCTCTAACTTGGAGAGCTGAAGCATGATACCTCAGCCCTAGCACAAGCCACATCCCTAACTTTCCAAATAGCAGGCTTTTTCATCTCTGAAGGGAAACTGTACCTCCTCACACAAAGGCTAGCTCCAGCTAAGAAATACGCAAGTTTCAAAACTTACCCAAGTGCACCATCAAAATATATAGCTTTTTCTTCAATAAGATCTATAACTCCTTTAAAGTTTCCCTCCAGCCCAATTGGAATCTGAACAAAAGCTGCATTGTGTTTTAACTTGGATCTGAAAAAAGTGAGAAAACACAAATTAGTTCAAGAAAAAGGTTGTTTCTAGATATGTACTCCAGATGGTCTTTGAACAACACCCCACTCCTACCAAGTCACTATCTTTTGTTCTTCGGACAGTGTCAAAAATCTACCAATACTGGCAAAAAACGCCTAGCTGCATTTTAATCTGAACAACTGCCAGCCCTCTGCATCCCAACAGATACAGTAAGCAACTTCCATGGGAAAGGCGGCAGTGCAAACTGGTTTCAGATTAATTACTTGATTATGGGAGGTGCTTCTCCCTCAATGCATGTTAATGCATGTATTTCACAGATCAAATTAGGCACAGAAAGCCTGCAGGTAAGGAGCAAGCAGGACTTCTGGTATACAAACTGGAAACTGTCCAACCCTACGTCATCTCCCTGCTCTAAGCTACAGCACATTTGCTACCAGGATCTAGGAAAAATTAAAAGGCTGTTTTCAAAGTGGTTCCAAATATAGTTCTATCAACAAAATAAATATCAAAACCCAACTCTCAGGCACTGCAAGCCTGGGCTGACACTACTATTTGTTTTTCTTGAGAAAATGGAGACTTGTTATAGGCCAGATTAAGATTTAACCTCAAGTCAGGTATTACCCTCCAAACTGCAACTACAGACCCCACGAGAGAATCCTTTTCAATATTCTTAGTGTTAACCTGCTACGTGAATAGTCTGGAATTTCACAAGTAATTTTAAATGATAAATACCTCAATTGTTGTACTGCTCTGGCTGGACTAGAGCCCTGTCTGTCCAGTTTATTGATGAATGTTAAAAATGGCACACTGTAACGTTTCATTTGCCTGTTCACAGTTATTGTCTGGCACTGAACTCCTCCAACAGCACAGAGAACCAGAATAGCTCCATCAAGAACTCTCAAAGATCTCTCCACTTCAATTGTGAAATCCACATGTCCTGAATAACAAAACCCCCCGGTTAGTCATAGATGATAAAAGGTAATGAGAAACTGTTTTCTCACACATGCAGAAAAGAGCAACAGAATTGTCTCCAGCTATACAGAAAGAGTCACATTAGCTCAGCTTGACTGACTAATGAACACAACGATGGCACCGAGCTCTTTGCATACAGGAAGGAACAGCAATCTTAACACATTCGGAACTGCCATTACCTGGTGTGTCTATGATGTTGATGTTGGTGTCCTTCCACATGGTGTATGTTGCTGCAGACTGAATTGTGATTCCACGCTGTCGCTCTAGCTCCATTGAATCCATGACAGCTCCAACTCCATCCTTACCTTTCACCTTGCGAAAAAAGAAAAAAAAAAAAGGAAAAAAAAAATTTAGTGCAAGAGAGTTTACTAAGAATTTTGCATGTGCAAAGCAATGCCTTATATACTGAGCGTCATCTTTCATGCAACGAAGAAATGCAGACATGGCAAAATCACTCAGAATGCTTGAACTACAAACAAGTTTGATATTTTTTTTTTGCAGCTTCATCTGCAACTTTAATGTATTTTGCTCTGCTGAGGATCATTCCTGAAAAAAATTATCAGAAAACTGTGGGAAGTTACACTTCACTGTGAATTTAACAAGATAACATACCTGAAGCTAAAAATTGCATCGCTACGTTCTCTGTTTCTCCCGGCCATCTTTGACTACATCAGAAGAAAGATATCTCTTCCACTGTGTATTTACCATGGAGATGGTAAGGGAGAAGAAAGTTTTGAAACAAGATTTGAAGTGTTGTGAAAGAGGACGAACACTGGAGTAAAGGAGGGATTACTTTCTGTCCCCTTGCCCTCCACTTATTTTTAAAGGGGTATTGGGGAAACCAGCAGATTTTTGGGATTCCTTCTCCAGCTTGGCCAGAAGAGTCTCACTAGGCCCTCCAAGCGTAGCTCCCTCACCCCACGCACTGCACTCTGCGGATGAACAAGTCACCACAAGGTCGCAATGGCACCCAGCACGCTCAGCCCACGACGAGCGGCTCTACTCTACCCTCCTCTGAAAACCAACCTCGTGCATTTGCGCTATCCTGCCCGTATAGAAGAGGATTCGCTCCGTTAACGTCGTCTTCCCCGAGTCGATGTGGGCCGAGATCCCGATGTTGCGGATCCTCTCATTGGGAAGGACTCCTGAAGAACAGTGCCTGCAGGAGTTCAGGAGAAACTGGAAGGCAAGAGAAGACCGCTGGCTTAGCTAGGAGCAGACCAAACGCAGCTCACTGTGCTGATGAACAGGCTTCCAGTCAAACTGCTTTTCTATGGCAAACGGGTCATTTAAAGCAAAACGCCCTTTCCAAGCACCCGCAGGGTCACCTCAAAGCTCCGCACTGCACTCGAAGAAACCAGGCCAACCCCCCTCCCCCGCTAAGCCCGGCTTTACCAGTCCTGCCTTTCAAACCTCGCCGTTAGGTTCCCAGCCTCCCCTGGTTTCCCTC